CTACAGTGAATGTGGAGGGCAATGAGAGTGTGCCTGAATCAAGCCAGGAAGATAGGGAGGCAGTGAATGAGGTTGACGGTGCCCACAGTGATGATTCCTTTCAAGCTTCTATATGTAGTGAAGATGGGGAACTGAATGAGATTAGGCAATGCAATAAGGAGATTCTAAGTCAATAGATGGGCAACATTACTTTAAACTCTGGTGTAGTACTGGGAGAGGTTGTTGATGCAAGTAACTCCATTCAATTTAACATTGTTAGACCCCCTCTAGTGGTTAATGCTAATGTACCAACATCACCTCATGAAGGAGTGCATTCAAGAGCTGACAACATAGTTGATGAACCTGGGCCATCAACCACTGAACCACAACAACAGTCATGGCCAGATTTTTGTACAAATTATGATGGTGGATATGAATCAGATCCTAGATCAAGTGGTGATGAAGGTTCCATAATTGCAAGTGATGAGGATGAAACTCTTGTCCAAAGTTTACAAAAAAAAGTAGCAAAGGTCAAGTATTCATTTTTTAATGAAGAAGTTGAGATGAAAAATGTTAAATTGACAGTAGGATTGAAGTTCACGTCAAGGGAAATATTAAAAGAAGCAATATTGAATTACTCCATACAAGAACACTATGACATTGTTTATGGAAAAAATGATAAGAGGCAGTTGAATGTGAATTATGCACTCTGTCATTGGCAGCTAAATGCTACACCATGTCGTGATGATGCTAGTGCTTGGAAAATCAATAGTATGCACCCTTATCATACTTGTAGCAGGACATTCATGTCGTGATGATGCTAGTGCTTGGAAAATCAATAGTATGCACCCTTATCATACTTGTAGCAGGACATTCGAGAATAGGCTAATCACTGAAGGTTGGCTTGTAGGAAAATTTATTGACAACTTTTTGAGGGATCCTAAGTTCAAGCCTAAAGACATGAAAGCAGAAATGCAAAAACAATATGAGATTATAGTGGATTTAAGGAAATGTAGGAGGGCAAAGAGTAGAGCTTTAAATACAGTAGATGGTTTGTTTAAGAAGCAATATGGCTTGTTAAAGCCATACATGAGAGAGCTCTTAAGGAGTAATGATGGAAGTACATGCATTCTGAAGGTCACAGATCAAAGTTACTCATCAGAATCAGGGGTCTTTCAAAGATTCTACGTGCGCTTTGCAGGTAAAGTTCAAGTGTTTGTTAGAAAATTTTGAAGTTTTATCAAAGCTTGTATGTGCATGTTTTTTAGACCATACTGAATTCATTCATGTGTTCTCAGCCATGAAAATGGGGTTCGCCAACAATTGTAGACCTATACTTGGACTTGATGGGTGCTTTCTTAAACATGCATATGATGGGCAATTGTTAAGTGCCGTGGGGAGAGACGGTAATAACCAATTGTGTGGGCTGTTGTGGAGAGTGAAACTAGGAGCTCTTGGGAATGGTTTATGAGAATCTTATCTAGTGATCTCAACATGGGAGAGAGAGAGGGATGAACAGTAATTTCAGACCAACAAAAGGTAAGGATCAATTTCATGTCATATTCAATTTAATCTCTATCTGGGCTACATGTGTACATATCTGGGCATGTTTTTTTTGTTTAACTAGGGTTTAGTTCCAGCTATACATGAAGTTTGGCCCCAAGTGGAGCATAGGCAATGTGCAAGATACATTTATTCCAATTGGAGGAAAGCACATACTAGAAGAACTCTTCAAAAACAATTTTGGTATTGTGTGAAGGCAACCTCCATGGGGGGTTTTGCAAGAGAGGCTGCCAAACTCAAGGATTACTCTCAAAGGGCATACGACGACTTCATGGCAAGGGATCCTCACACCTTTTGTAAGTCCCATTTTAAATGTCATAGCTAATGTGATAGTGTTGACAACAATATGTCCGAAACCTTCAACTCATTCATCCTTCTTGCAAGATACAAGTCAATAATTTCTATGCTAGAAGACATTAGACTTGCCATGATGGATATGATGCAGTTAAAGAGGAAGTTGATTACGCAATGTGTGGGTGGGATTGCCCCTAGAATAAGCAAGAAAATCAAAGAGGGATATCAAGAACAATTGCACTGTCAAACACGTTGGTCGGGAACAAATGACTATAGTGGATTTGAGATACATCACAGAGGGATTGGCCATGAGGTTAACTTGAGTGAAAAAACCTGTTCTTGTAGGGTATGGGACTTGACTGGAATTCCATGTCCCCATGCCATTAGTGCAATACTATTCATAAGAAAGAGTCCAGGAGATTTTGTTGCTCATTGGTACAAAAGTAAAGCTTAAAAAATGCTTATGAGAGCTTGTTAAACCATGTGCAAGGTACCAGATTTTGGGACCTTCAACAGGAGGGATTTGTGTTGCCTCCTCACAGTATGAGGAAGCCAATGGGGAGGCCCATACATGCTAGAAGGATGAACCCTTCAGAAGGTCCAAGAAATCAATTTAAGGCATCAAGGCAAGGTGTGCAATTGAGATGCACCCATTGTGAATCAAGTGAACATACACAGAGAAAGTGCCCCACTGTACCACCAAGGCAACAAGCTACACAAGTAAGCTTATTTTTTTGCAACTGTATTTTGTGTTCATTAAACAACTTAAGCCTTACATGATCCATCTTGCAGGAATCACAAGGAACAAGAGTTGATGAAGGACCATCTCAAGTGAGGAAAAAGGGGAGACCAAAGGGAAGTCTGAACAAAATTAGATGTGGTGACATGCCTCCAAGCAATGCTCCAACGCCAGCATCCATTATCCTTGGAAGAAGAAGCAAAGCTCCAACAACCAGTGCTGAGGCAGGAAGAGGTAGATGAAGGGGAGGGAGAGGGAGAGGAAGAGGAAGAGATAGAGGGAGAGGTGGTCAATTACGGATGCCAAAAGGGTTTAGTTTGTGGCAAGGACCACAAGGAGAAATGGCATTTAAAGCTCCTGGTGACAGTCAAGTAAATGTGATACATTTGACACCTAATACTCCATCCTCATAGAGTGCACCCTCTCAGGAATGAGAGTGTAATTAACTGCAGCAGATAACCAGTGTTTTGTATTTTGGGACAAAGTTGTTAATGTCTGGTTAATGTTATTTTGGTACAAAGTTGTTACTGTCTGGTTAATGTATTTTAGGACAAAGTTGTTATTTGGTATTTTGTGTTTAGATGTGTTGATCAGTTCTATCTGGGCATGTTCTATTTAGTATTTTGTGTTATGTTATGTGATAAAGTTCTGTAACTTACATGCACTTGGTATTTTGTGTTTTGTGTTTTGTTATGTGTTACAGTAGTTTCCAAGCAATGTTCTACCTGATACATTTGGTATTATGGATGTTCAATACATTGGCATGTTTAAAGTTTATATGTCTACTTCATGCCAATCTCTTTATTGACATCATTAAACCAGGTCATGTGCAATATGGGTCAAACAGGTACAATTGAATTCATGTCATTGAACCAGGTCATGTACATTTAGTTATACAAGTCATTGCACCAGTTCATGTGCATTCATGCCTGTATATAACAACCAAGGAAGTTCATTTATTCATGCACAATCAACAACACACATTAGGAGTTCAATATACCAATCTGTCAAAGTACAGTGCTTTATTCACATCACAACCACTTTCACATTACAACAATCTTCACATTACAACATACAGAATTAAACAGAGTGTAAACATTCCTAATAATAAAATAAACTTAATAATCTTTTTTTCTTCTGCAATCTTTTCGTGCAATTCTAATCTTTCTTTCATCATTTTCTGCACTTCTTCCAAATAAGAAGCAGCCTCATGTTGAGACAACTCGACATCCTCTTTAAGCTTGTAAATGTGCTCATTGCATCCTCTTAGCTGATTTTCATACCTTTGAAGTAACTCCTCCTTCAACATCAACATATTCCTCAAACCATTGATCTCCTCTCTTAGAAGCGGAAACAATTGACATCCAACACTACACATTGGTTGGTCAATCCATTCCAAAATGCCACAACCACCAGCCTAACATTACTCAAAAATCAACGAGACCATGATCAAGTGAGATGCGTAAAAAATTACAACTTCCAAGTAAAAACTGCAATTGATTATTGCAACAAATGAGGAAGTAAATTTAACTTACATGCTGATTGCGGCATTTGTAGAACCTCCGTCCTGGATTTTTATCAGTCATAGAAGTAAAATATTTGCACTCCAAACCACAATTACAAACCTTCACCCCAGATTGCTTTGCTAGATCATTCCATTGTCATATAACTTTTATTCCATTGAACCCTTGCCTGCTTCTTCCCATGCTCGTGCTTGATACTGATCTTGAGCGACAACTTGAAGATGAAGAATCCATCACTAATTTAACTCATACTGAACCTAACTCTAACCCTAGGAGGAAGAAAAAGATGGAGTAAGAAGAAGAAGATGGAGTAAGAAGGAGGAAGAAGAAGATGGAAGCCCTAATCGGAGATATAAATCCCCCTTTTGCCGAAATTTATTCATCTCAACTATAGCCACGCTGGAGTCCACGTCAAGACCACGTCGGAGTCACGTGAGCTGTCACGTGAGAATAATGACCGGGAAATTGACTCCGGCCAAACTTAAGGCCTATATGACGTCGAAGTCGACAAAATATACAAATATGATAAAACTAAAAGAAAATATACCAACATGTCACCAAGCCTCTACAAAATATACCAATTTGGCCATTTTGACTTTGAAGTACTGACGTAAAGCTCATAAATAAGTGGTCAACCACTTTTTGAGGGATTCAATTATTTTCACATGTGCATAAGAATTCTCTTCTATATAACTTTTCTAACTTTTAAGTTCAATAAATGAACAAGAACAATTAACTTTATTATATGCCAAACAATAACCTAAGTAACACCTATGACATTTGATGAGGCAGAAGAGCCAATCCAATTTCAAAAAAATTCAAACCACAAATAATAACCATAAAAAAGGCACAGTTTCCCTCCCAAAATAAAGTATTACCTGAAGAAAAAGAAAAAAGAAAAAGAAAAAGAAACATAGAAAGTAACAAACCAAGTCCCTTGCCTGTCTATTTTCCACCTACCAGTTCCGTTCCCCCAGCGACTCTCTACCTCTTGTCCGCTCTAAAATTCGTGCTCTTCGCCGGCGATCATGGAGTCACCGGAAAACCCCAGATCTCCACGTGTTGGTCTAGTATACGACGAGAGGATGTGCCGGCACGCGACGCCGGACGGCGAGCGACATCCCGAGAATCCGCAGCGGATCAGAGCCATTTGGAGGAAGCTCCAGGCCGAGAGGATCCTTGAAAGGTATTTATTTTATACTTTTTTGATGAAATTCTTTTTCTTTTGTGTAATTTTTTCACCTCAAAGCCAGTCAAACCCAAATAAAAACTTCGAATGGCAGTGCAGAATTAGGGTTTGCCTCCAGATACGGAGACTGGTGGCGTCTCCTCCTCGGACCCATCCAAAAGTTTTATTCCCTTGTTCCTTTTAATTTTCTTGTTTGTTTTTTTAACTGTTGGAAAAGTCTGGATTTTGCTAGCTATGGCTTTCACTTGGTAGAAATGCAACGCCTTTTGACTTGGATGCTACCTGAAATTGTGATGATTATGGATCAAAATTGTTGTGTTTTAATCTCCTTTCACTGTGACTGTGTAGTACTAAGTGGAACCCTAGACAATTAGAAAGAATGAAAAGAAGAATGATAATCTTCAATTATTCCATATTAGTCCATCAAATCTATGAAATTGCTCATTAGTCCCTCAAGTCCTAGGGTTATTGCAATTTGGTCCCTCAATGACCAAAATATTCTCAGATAATGTTTTTTCTGAGGTTTATTTGCAATTTGAGACTCAAAAGTTTACAACTTTTTAAACTTTAATACCCGAATTTTTGACACCTCGATACCCTAAACTTTACACCTTTTCAACTTTGATACCTCAAACTTTTTTTGACACTTTGATACCCCAAAATATATACACATTTGTTAACTTTCATATATAACCGAAAGATTCTATGTTTTTTTTTAATTTTGATACCTCAAAGTATACACATCTTTTAACTTTGACACTTTAAAGTTTAGGGTATCGAAATGTCAAAAAAAAAACTTCGGGCTATCAAGGTTAAGAGGGTATAAATTTCAAAAGTGTCAAAAAACTTGGGGATGTTAAAGTTAAAAATGTGTAAACTTCAGAGTACCAAAGTGCAAATAACTCTTTTTTTTAGTAAAATGAGTTTGAAAAGTGAAATTATAACTAAGGAGTATTTTGGTTATTGAGAGACCAAATTGCAAGACTCCTTAGGATTTTAGGGACTGAGGAGCAATTATTGAGATTTGAGGGACTAATATGGAATTATTGAAGATTTGAGGGACTAATATCTAAATAACTCTATTTCTAGGCACCCATCTAGGCCTAGGCGGTACCTAGGCCATTTGCCTAGGTCTTAGGTGCTCTTACGGAGCTTGGCCGCGTACGCAGACTGCAATAGTTAGGCCCTGGTCATGATTTTCTTCACTATAGCCTCTAACCTCCTCCGAACCCATCCAGCCTCCTACTATGAACACCTGCAATACCTTTGACCTTCAATAAGACCACCACCACTTAAACTGAAATGCAATTCGTCTTGGCGCCTAGGCTCCTGCCTAGGCGTTGGGTTCAATGCGTAACATTTTCTATAACTTTAGAAGTGGGTTCACTGAAACAATAGGTAGGGGAAATGACAGAGAATTTTGGGTTGAGATCAGAACACATATGAATGATTTTTAAATATAAGGATTACTCTTATTCTCTTATGAAATCCAGTATTAATTGTGCCCAACTTAGTAATTATGATGGATACATAAGCATGTCATGTCACTTGTCCCTTGAATTTGTTCCCTTTTCTAGTGTTGCTAGCAACAATGTTCCTAGGGCTTATGTGTTGCTTCATTAATTTACATATATTGTAGTTTCAGATTAGCTTGATTTCCTATTTCGTTTTCTATGGAAATATTAAAGTCATATTCACGACATGTAATTTTGATATCATGGTCAGTGTCATTGAGGCGATCGCCCTAGGTGTGCCCGAGGCGCGAGGTGATGCGGGTTGGTGCAATTGCGCCCCGCACTAGAGGTAGAGCATTGCACGTTTACAAGGCGCGCGCTTCGTAAGGGCGTTGCGCTTGAGGTGGGGCGCACTGAAGCGTGTGCCCCAGAAGTGATATAGTTTTTTTGGAATTGGGTTTTGGGTATGAAACTCGATGTTTTCTTGAACAGATTGATTCTTTAGGGTTTTGCTTCTGTTTTTGGCGCCGCCCTCTCTCTATCCCCATCTCAATCGCTCGTCTCTTCTCGCTCTCTCTCATCTCGACTACTTGCCACTCCCTCTCCCATATCCGGTGACCAACGGTAAGCCACTGGCAACGTCCAGAGAAGCCACCGGTGACCACATCTCCGCGTAGTAGTAAATGTACACTTTTTTTTCTTTTTTTCCTTTTGTTTTTTTGTGAAAATATGATGTTTTCGTGGTTTCTTTTTTAATCTCTTTTTTTAGTGATAATCTACTGTTTTTTGACTCTTTACACATGTTTAACATCTAATAGACTCTTTTTGATGTTCTATGCATCTAATTGACTCTTGATGTTTTATTTTTACAAAGTTTGAGATTTGAGATAATCGATTGATTCTTGCTACTTCATTCTCCATCTCTTCATGTTAACATATCAAAAGAAAAAAGTAATTAGTACTTTAATATAAGTGTGCAACTTTAAAAGTCAGTTGAAGAAACAATGATATTATGGAGATAATTGTCCATCTATAGATGAAAGATTCCAAACGTACGCTTGAGTGTCTCTCTCTGAATTATAACTTCAAACAAGTTCATGCAAACTAGCAATTAAAAGTGCTAACACTAAAATTATGGACAATCATGTTTCATACTTGTATACCATATATTGAAAAAGATACGCTTCAAGTGTGCGCCCTCGCTTTAGTGAGGCGCGCGCCTCACGTTGCGCCTTGTGCATGGTGCACATAAGGAGACTTTGAGCCCCGCGTTGCACATTGCGCCTCGATAACACTAATTATGGTTGTTGAAATCACGAGAAATCCTTGTAATTAGTGGGAGAGATTTAGGTGATTAATTGTTGGTCTTCCACAGAACCGTATCACATTCATCATCGTATAAGAACTTTATTTATGTTCTCTGAATCTTTAAACCTTATTTTTTTCACTTGTTTATTACTTTATCCTTCTGCTTTCATATTCTTAACTTTGGTGACAATTTATTTCAGATGTGTGGTACTGAATGCAAATCATGCTGATGACAAACATCTCGCTTATGTTCATACAAAAAGACATATTGATTTAATCAGGACTATCAGCTCCGACGAATTTGATTCGCGTCGTCCGAATATTGCTTCCAAGTTCAATTCAATTTATTTTAACAAAGGTTCATCTGAAGCAGCTTACCTTGCTGCAGGTTCAGTTGTTGAGGTAAAGTGCCCGGCTTCCTATTTCTTACGTGCTACAATTATTGTGTAGTTCAGATAAATGGCTTAGTTGAACAATTAATGTATATTGTCCTTTTGGAAATAAACATTAAATTTTAAACCAAATCTGTAATTTGTACTTTGTTCCTTCAAATATTCTTTTTGATCTTTGTTAGTTTGGCTCTTTCTCCAAATAGGCATCTATGAAGGTGGCAAGTAGAGAGTTGAGCTCTGCTATGGCTGTTGTTAGGCCTCCAGGGCATCATGCGGAAACTAATGAAGCTATGGGATTTTGCATCTTTAACAATATCGCGATTGCAGCAAATGTTCTCCTAAATGAGAGAGTATGGACATTATTTCTTTTAGTAATTCTTTGCTAAAAATCAGAGAGTATGGACATGGTTTCTTTTAGTAATCTTTTGCTAAAAATCAGCTTAGATGAGGCTGGACTGGAGTTCTTCCCATGTACTTGACTTTGAAGTTATTCTTTTTTATCTTTATATCACAGCCAGAATTGGGTATCCAAAAGATTTTAATTGTAGATTGGGATGTACATCACGGCAATGGCACGCAAAAAGCATTTTATAGTGACCCTCGGGTTTTGTTCTTCTCCATACACAGGTACCGATTTTGGTTGTTCTTGTTTCTTAATTTTATTCACATAAATTTTCTTTTCTTGTTATCATATTTTTTTTCCTTTTAACTTTCTTGTTGATTCCAATTCTCATAGTATATGCTAAGACTTCTTTTTAATGCCATGAAGATGAATTCATTTAAGTTTCAAAGGCAACAGTTGACCTGGAATATCGTTGTTCAGTTGTATAAATTGTTTGTAATTTGCATAATATGGAAGAAAAAAATGGAAAAGGGAAAACTTATGGAAACAATTAATCATGTTTAATCGCTTCTGTGAGCAGTCCATGGAATCTTGATGTGGTGAGAGATATCATTATGTCCCTTTTAATTTCGCTTAGCAGGATAAAGAAGATGGTAATAAGCATGTTTTGATTCCAGGTTTGATTTTGGAAGTTTCTATCCAGCTGGTGGCGATGGTTCTATTTGTATGATTGGGGAAGATCTAGGAATGGGATATAATATAAATGTTCCTTGGGAACATGGAAAATGTGGTGATGCTGATTACATTGCTGTCTGGGATCATATACTAATTCCTGTGGCTGAAGCTTATAATCCGGACATTATTCTAATTTCTGCTGGATTTGATGCAGGTTAGGCTTCACTGTATTTTGTTGAACTATTTCCATATTTATTCTCACTCTGCAAACTAGAAATTTCTGCAACATGATATACTTGCACCATGCTTTCAGTGTAATAGTAGCAAGGAAAATGTGTACCTTCTGAACAGTGATTGTATAGAAGACAATACAAACAATAAGGTATTCTCAAGTGGATTCATTTGATAGGAATCTGCAATTATCTGTTCCTTCGAAATGATGTCAATTTGCTATGCTTATGACTAAGTTACTGTTATAAAAGTAAGTCATGCATGAACGTCTATCCTCAGTGGATCTTAACCTTATGAGTCATGTAATTGTCTGTAACTTCTTATTCATAAGCCCATCTGATGAGGACATGGCACAACTTCCACTTCGTACATATTTTCGTTGCCGTCGTCGTGTTGCCTCAGCTCATATGTGACTTTGATCTTGAGAAGACTCGGAGTCTAGCTAGTATTACTTTTTATTTCCTCTTTATTGTATTTGTCCAATAATTTTTAGTCCCACATTGGATATGGGAATGAACTTGTAGTTGTTGAAGGCCTATTTAAAGAGGCAAATTCTATGAAATAAAGCAATGATTATTTGAAGAAAATTTGGTTTCCTTTGTGAGACTTTGGGTAATTGATTTGATCTTTAAGATTGAGTCAATGGTGGTGAAGCCAAGGTCCGGGTTGCGATCCGTGGTCATATCGTGTTAAAATTATTAATTTGTTATCTTTTCAAACCCAGCTTTCCCCAGATCCTTGTTCTTCCCCAAATCTCCCAAATCCCCACCATAAATCCCTAAAAATCCCGTTGTCCCGCATCATTTTTGGCATCAGAGCAAGGTTGATCAACTCGATTCTTCTCCACCTCAGGTTCTTCTATCTCTTACTTCCTCTCACTTATTCTATTTTTATTTTTTTAGTTTGTAAAAAAAAGAGAAATGAGCCAGATCCAAAAAAATCCGAAAAAAGAAGAGCCAGATCCAAATATGTGTTAGACCCCCATCAACTCTCAAAACTCATCACAGCCCTTCATTACAAATAAAAAAAACCCTAGACCTAGTTTTTCCTCCAGCCGCCTCCCTCATCCCACCTCCAAAACCGCAACCAAAACCCCTGCCGTCCCCGCCTCCGCATCCTCTCCCTCCGCCACAAACGCCCTCAATTCCCGTCTCTCCTCTTTCGCCCTCAATCCCCGCCACACACCACACTGCTTTCCTTCGTTATACGCGCGCCACCCTCCCCTGATCTCCTTTTCCACAAGCCACGAGTCCCCTAGCGCCATCTCCTACACTACAGCCACCATCTCCAACACGAGCAGTCCCCCACCCCAGACGCCATCTCCTCCATCACGAGCAGCCTTTTCTTCCACTGTATCGGAGACGACGATAGTCGCCACGACGACCACCCCTCTCAGATTCGATCCCCTCTCAGATCAGAACCGATCTCCATCAACTTTCCCGCATCAACAGCTGCTGCGACGACCACCCCCCTCATCGTCGACGTCAACCAGCCTTCTTGCTAGTCCTTCACACCGCCGAGACAACCGCCTCGCCCTCGACGGAGACAGGAGAGCAATTCTCTAAGAGCAACAACAACATCACAGCAACCACAATACAGTAACAACGTCAAACAACAACAATTCAGCAGCCTGCAGTATCATCAACCAGAGGTTTGTTAGCGAATCTTCATCAAGGTAATTCTAATATCATCGATTTTATGTCTTTCTAATTGATCTAGAAATTGCTGCATCACTTTTAGATCGGTTCATCTTGCATGCTATCAAAATTGTTAGCTGTCCACTAAACTTGTGAGTGTGTGATTCTGTTCTACCTTTATTGGTGCTAGATCTCGATTTTAAATTAGAACTATTCTAAATTTAGCTTCGTTAATTATCTTGTTGCAATCTTACGGTTCAATATTATCAGCGTGGATTTTGTTGTCGATATAATTATCACAAGTTAAATAATTAATGTCTAATTTGTAACAAACTATGGGATAACATCTTGAGCATTGCGAATTGGTCTCCTTGTTGATTTCTCATTTTTCCATCGTATTTCACATTATCATCTGGCATCATGTTAGGTGTTCGAATTGATTTTGTATTTTGATAGATTGCATTCAGGCGAAATTTAGTTAGCACTTCATTGCATCGTTATTATTAAGATTATTTAGATTGCATTTAGAAACTAATCTGCTGCATGCGCACTCGTAGTGGAACACAATATTCTCCCCCAGATCCTAATTCCGAGATGGATCCGAACCTTGCAAGCCTCACAAAAGCCATAGAAATCTTAACTGCGCGATTCGACATTGTTGAACAAGATTTGAGAGAAACAAGGGAACCTTTGGACCAAGTGACGGATAGGCCCCATGAACGTGATGAAGAAGACAGATCTCGAAACGGACATTATCCACATCAACCTCATGAATACATAGGCCCTCACGCCAACCGTTTTGGAAATCGCTCACCTATGGACAATTCACCTTTTGATCCAGATGAGATGCATTTGAAGTACGTTAAACTAGAGGCACCCACCTTCAAAGGCCAGTTGGATCATTAGGTTTTTATCGATTGGATATCGGACATGGATCACTATTTCGGTTGGTATAAAATGTCCGATAAGAGACGAATTCGATTTGCCAAAATGAAGCTAGTGGGTCAGGCTAGACAATATTGGTCTAACGTTGAGAAGCTGATGATTCTTAGGAGGCAAGAGCCCATACAGACTTAGGATGAGATGAAATTGAAACTCCAAAAAAAATACTTGCATGTGTCGTACAAACAACGCTTGCTCGATCAATGACAACGCTTGACGCAAGGCAATCGGCCAGTATCGGAGTACATCACCAAATTTGATGAATTTCTGGTTAGGTGTGGCAAGAATGAATCTGACACTATAGTCTTGTCTAGATTTCGCTCAGGACTTAAGGAAGATCTTAGACGCGAACTCTTTGTACGAGACATCTCTACTCTAGAGTAAGCCTATCAGCTTGTCCAAGATTTAGATCGACCACAAGACTCTCCTTTCACTAGACACACCGACTATAGGAATAATACTAAAAAGTCCATCATTGTTAAGTCCCCACTTAGTCAACCCTAGTCTCAACCCCGAACTAGATCTAGTACCTCCATGTAGAAGTCAGATGATAAAGACAATGGAGTTTATAGCGAGTCATCTAGATCGGCTCAATCTACTCGATGTTTTAGGTGTCAAGGGTTTGGTCAAATTGCTGCTCAGTGTCCGAGTAAAACAAGGACTTTAATTGTTGAGACCCGATCAAACAGTGACTAGGATGATTTAGAGGAGATTGTGCATAACCCTTGTAGAAAATAGAGAAATTGTTTATTAAGAATAACAAGAGAGATATATATAGCCATACAAATAGGGTTAAGGTTAACGGGTAACAGCCCATTAACCCAATACCCAATATTTAACTTAACACTCCTCCTCAAGCTGGAGCATAGATGTCTACCATGCCCAGCTTGTCATATATAGTAGAGAACACCTTTGAAGAAGTAGCCTTAATAAGAATATCAGCAAGTTGTTGTGAGGACGGAGTGAATATGAGAGATACTATCTTTTTCTCCCAAACATCTCTGACAAAATTGCAGTCAACTTCAATATGTTTTGTTCTCTCATGAAACACAGGATTCTGTGCAATATAAATGGCAGACTGGTTGTCACAATGCATTGGCATGGGTCCAGGCTGAACAAAACCAAGCTCTGATACTATCTTAAATTTAGTTCCTTTAACTATTACACGGGTAATAGCCCATTAACCCAATACCCAATATTTAACTTAACAACCCTGATGAAGATGTTTGGGAGGATGAATCTGCTGAGATCATCTTAGGATGTCTTTAGAGCGTGTCCACACCCTCGATCAACAAAGTGGACGAAGTTTCCCGTCGACTTAGTGTTGTGAGGTGCGCATTAGCTCAACCTAAGGATAGTGATGACTGGCAAAAAACCATAATTTTTTACACAACTACAAAAATCAATGACAAGAACTGTCGAGTCATAATTGATAGTGGGAGTTGTGTTAACATCGTCGCCTCCAACATGGTGACTGTACTTGGAGTGAAGTCTGTTCCCCATCCTCAACCATATAAAGTATCATAAAGTATCTTGGGTGAATACTACGTCCACTGAGGTTAAAGAGCGATGTCTTGTCCCGATCCATTTTGCTACTTATTCGGACAAAATTTGGTGTGACATTGTTACCATGGACGGTGGACACATCATTTTAGGTAGACCCTGGATATATGATCTAGATGTCACTATCTATAGACGATCAAACACTCATTCTTTCGTACATAATGGTAAAATGATCAAATTAGTTCTATCGCGACCTACTCCTCCACCTGCTCCTAAACGGGCTGATTCCTCCAACAATCAAAGGGGACTCAATTTGATCAACTCTAAGTCTCTGGACAAAGAGGTTGCTAAAGGGTCTACCGTTGTTGCCCTTGTTGCTAGGAAGATTACTAAAAACTCCAAAGAGCAAATTCCTTCTGCGGTAACTCCTATATTAAAGGAATTTGCAGATGTTTTCCCGGAAGAACTCCCGGACGCTCTACCCCCGATGCGTGACATCCAACATGCTATAGATTTTGTTCCAGGATCTACTCTTCCCAACTTGTCTCATTACAGAATGAATCCAACTGAGAATGACGAACTCTAGAGGCAGGTTGAAGAACTGTTGACTAAGAGGTTCATTAAAGAGAGTTTGAGTTCGTGCGCCGTGTCGACATTATTAACCCCTAAGAAAGACGGTTCATGAAGAATGTGTTGATAGTCGAGCAATCAACAAGATCATCGTTAAATATCGGTTTCCTATTCCTAGGCTGGATGATATGTTAGATATGATGTCTGGAGCTACCATATTTTTCAAAATTGATTTGAAGAGTAGCTACCATCAAATTAGTTTTCGTCCAGAGGATGAGTGAAAGATAGCTTTTAAGATAAAAGATGGTCTATACGAGCGGATGGTTATGCC